TGCATGTTGTGTACATGTTTTCTCCTGTCGTTACCTCTTATCATCCAATTTCCTATTTCTTTGCCTGCGCCAAGAACAGATATAGATGCAAACAGACACACGCACACACATGCTAAGAAATTATGAAATGTTTTATCTTCAGCATGCAGCGTGGCTATGCAACGCACTACAAAGTGGGACATCCGAGCAGAGGGGTGGGGAGATACGACCACTGTGAGCTCATCTTAGAAACTCTCCAGCATGTCAATTTCCAGTTCATGTCTCTTCAACTATCATTTCCGACATTTAATATGCTTTCTCCCTCACATAGCCCTATACAGTCTATCGACGGCGGCATATATACGAGGCATTTGTTTACCCAAAGAGCGACACACCATTATTCTTGTGCGTGGTCTGCAGTATCGAGTGACGATTTCAGATACATGTTGAATGAGCTTGTCACAAATGATTTGTCATTGCCTTGGAAGTATATATAAAATTGATTTGATTTAGTAGCAAGAGACATGAACACTAGATCTGATTGGTTTTTGACGAAGAACCTCTGTGATTTAGATAGCGTTCAGACATAAAACAACATGTGAGTCATGTTTGCAGCTCTGTGAGGCTGTTGCAAACACTCATATCATTATAGCTGGATGCTCACAATGATTATGTTTCCAGTTTCTTAGTTTATCATGTCAGCATGCTTGCGTATGCTCAGATAGTATTATCTTTTCTTTGGGTAAACAGAAACACATTGGTAACACATCACTGACATAATTACTTTTTTTTTAATTATGGCATTGTTGCACACAGTTACTTCTTTTATCTTACAGTAGTAAAGTAATCGTAAATATATTATCAACCACTTGGTGCTGTGTTTGCGTCCACCTGGTGAATGTGTACAATTCTCTTTCCTTTATCTCTTTGAACACGTACTGTAAGGGAAGTTTCTGGCTCTCTCGCTGCTAAATGCGCCGCATCATTCACCAGCACGTCAATACCTGTGTCTGCTGCTTTGTGTACAGTTGCTGCTTAGAGCATCGTTGAGTGCTGCCTGCTGCAGACGAAAGACACACTATAAAAGCGGAAAGAATGAATGACAGCTAAACGATGAGCTGAAACCAAGTCAGATGGTTCAGAAATGTTATGTTGGGGGAAAAAGCAACATTACATTGTATCTCAAAGTAAAACCAAAGATATGGTGTACCCCAGGGAACCATATTTGGGCCCCTCCTCTTCATGGTGCATATCAATGATTTTGGGTTTTACTCTTGCACTCTTCAGAGTATTCTTTTTCTGATGATATCATTTTGTTCTTATCTCACATGGATCAGCAAAGTAACCTAGATAAGAAACTAGTGGGAGTGTATACATTTTTAAAAGTCATAAAATTCTTCTTTTATCTTCCTTTTAGAAATGAAAAGAATGTTGAACATGTTTTCAAAGTTTCTAAGGGTCATGTAGATTTACTGTTGGCAAACTTCAAGCTTTTTCTTCAAGTAACTTTGATAGAAGAAAGTGTTATGTATGATAACATTCTTCAAGTAAACGCACCGACTGACATTCTTTTTTAGAGCTACAGTCTTCTGAGGGTTACCAAATACACTTGCTTCTTTTGAAAGTTTTTTTAAAGTGAAAGATGTTGTTTTTTCTCAATGATTTTCTGACCTTGTTCCAAAGCACTTAAACAAGGGTAAAAAACATTCACTTTAATGGTCCTGCTTTAGTGTGGCCTACAGTTATGGAATGAGTCTGGCAGCAAAATGTAATTTTTTGTGTCTGTTTCAAAACCACTTTGAGGCAGCATCTTAAATATATCTCTTCCCCCGAAATGAATAGAAATTGTAATTCAAACTTTCTATATGTGTCTATCTACTGTATCCTACCAATTTAATGTTTGGACTAACGGAATAATCGGGATCAGTTATTTGTTTGGGTTGTATTTTGGCTCTTCTGTGAATCTTTCGAATTTCAATGTTTTAGTATACTACCTACTTTGTGACTTGGCCCATATTCTCAAGCTTCAAGATGGATGATCCTATTTTAAATATGTTAATTATACACAGAAACTATAGCCAAAGCTCTCAAAAGCTTGGTAAAGTTGGGGTAAGCTCAAGATTAGTTGATTGTACTCTATAGGTTTCCCTTGACATTGTCCTTTGATATGTTACCATAAAAATATGAATCACAGTATCTTTGAAAAAGCCGGATTTTATATGAACAACATTACTTTTTCTGATACTCACCTTCAATGTTATCCTTGCTTAAGGCTCACATTTGATATTGGACAGGAAAAACTTGTTTTAAAATGGACTTCCTCACAAAAATGTATTTATTATTGACAACACACCATTAGGTTATCAGAATCTTCAGATCATGAGTCTTTCAGGCATTGCATAAGTGATAACGCCTCAAAACAGAATACAGAACAGAACTATCAAACAACAATTGACAACACAAACTGATTTCACACAGTTTAACCACCGAGGAGACACGGTTCACACTTTGATCCGTTGAAACAGTTGTGCCGTTTGCCGCTGTTTTGTTTTCCTGATTGAAGTAAAATATTGCAGGAAGTCAATGATTAGATGGTTTGAGTGAGAGGCAGCAGGTCTTAAAATTGAAAAGTCAAGGTGAAATTTAAATCCTTGCATCTTTTATTAATGAGAATGAAATGCTAAATGTTCCTTGCTAGAATCTTTTAGTTTCTTCCTTTGTTTTTTATATGTAAAGCTGCACAGATTATACTGTTTTCTACTGAGCAGTTGACTGACGTAAAACACAAGCACAATCCCTCATTATTGTTAACTATTTGAGTCCGTCTTGGCTAGAAATAAACATCTTCTCAATAGTAATTACTCTGGTTTCTATGACGTCAATCACTGAGTCACAAATTAAGTCTTTATTCCAAACACTCATTTGGCAGAAGTATTGTACAAAGCGGCTCAAACTAAGTGCATTCATTTTTCAAAGCTAGATTTATTTTCTGAGACGTTACAGCAAAGTATAGTGAAAATGGGGAATCGATTATTCCTACTACAATGCCATGGCTATGTGTTAAATGGAGATTGCTTTGTAATCGTTTTGTCTCTTCGAAGTAATACAGTCATTATGGTAACCTCTATGGAGGAAGGAGAGACACTGGAATCTGTCAGAAGCCATGATAGCATTTGTCTTCTTTCAACATAAATCTACCAAAACACATTTTCCCGACTGTCGTGTCACATTAAAATGTAGGTTTTTAATACATTTACACAGATTTGCTTTCGATGACAATATGCTTATTTTTCTTATAAAAAATAAATCTTGTGTATATTCTATAATAAGTGAATAATGCAGACTTTTCACCATGAAAACCAGACAAAGTTGTACACAATTTTATAAACACTGGTATGTTATGAATGAATTGTTGTCAGGGTTTTAATCATGTAAACAGTTTTTTATGAGCATAACAGAGAAGACAGAGAGCTGTGGCACGTTGAAGCTGTTAATACTTAGCGAGTCCATTGACAGCATTGTTGCACATCAGAGCATAACATGTCACGTTTAGAAAATTGCATTTCGTTTAACGTTTTTTTTTATAAATGTTTTCCGACCATTTTCACAAGAAGCTCCAGCTTCTTCTTTTTTTAAAGTACAGCAGCACAATGGTTTTCTTCCACAGCAATATTTATTATGATAATTAAAACAATAAAATACAATAAAGTGACTTTCTGTCCCTTACATTCCCTGAGGGTTACCATCGAAACAAATTATATTAGCTTCTAGATGGGCTTAAATCACATTTTCTGTATCAAATGTGCCTGGTATCCGTTTCACCCGGGGCCATTAACTTCTTCCCTTCTTCCCCTACTTCCCTGACATTGGATCCTGCAATAAAAACGTCAACATGCATTACATCACAGCTAATGGCGTCCTTTTGGCAAACCTTGACTCTAAGTTATCGCAGTGTATCTCTGCCTGGACCCTCCTGATGTGGGACACTAAAAGCAGGTGAAATAGGAGCCATTTGGCAACTATATCCAGATCCTTTTGCTTCCCTTCCTTTAAAGAGGCCCTATTATGTTTGTTAGGGTTTTCCCTTTCCTATAGTGTGTGCAGTAGGTTTAAGTGCATGTAAACGGTTAGCAAAGGCTAAAATCCCAACATTTCTCTCCCACATGCTCCCCCCCCCCGCCCTGAAACGCCTCCATTGGACTCCCTTATTTACCTCCCTAACATAAGGCGCTTTCACACCGCAGTACTTTTCCCACAAAGGTTCATCAGAACTTAGTTCATGAGAACTATTTAGTTCTCATGAACTAAGTACAGATCGCTTTCACACCGGAATAAGTTCCTGGGGAAGGATTAGGTAAATGAAGCCGCTGACGTCACTTCTTCTTCTGCTTTGGGTTTACTGGCAGGCCGCAAACAACTTCACGGCGTATACTGCCACCCGAAGTCCCCGGCCTGAAGTCCCCGGAGTTGGGGACTGGCTTCAGTAGAAGCTGCTGGGACTCCCAGCAGCTTCTACTGAAGCCTTCAGAGTAAACGGCCAGAACGCCGACACCTCCTCATCTCCACCGCTCCCATCTTTTCTTTTGTGTTGCCATAAGTTAGTCTCTCTGCGTTTGTGCACATTATTATGCTAATAATGCTAATGCCAGGATAATAAAATGGCGGCTTCACACAACTTTTTTGGAGTTTTACGGGGCGTGGTTTGCAATCCGCCCAGCCAATCAGACGAAAGTCCCTGCTCTTTAGCAGCGACGGAAAAGGGGGTAAAAAGGTTCTCGTTAACTAATTTTAGTTCCGGATTTTTTTGGTGTAAACGCGACTTTTCGGAACTATATCGGAACTGAAGTGGGAAAAGTACTGCGGTGTGAACGCGCCTATAGTGACGACACTCTGTAACACTTGCGCTTCTATCGGCTATTGGCTCCAACACATTTGACGTGATAGGCTAAGGGGCGGGAAATCACTAAGCGGTTGACCAATCACAACAGAGCCGGCCAGTTAACCAATCGGAGCAGAATGGGCTCTGGTTTCAGACAGAGGGTGAAAAGAGGTGATGCAGCACCATGAGAAAAATAAAGAGCTTTTTGAACATTAAAGTACAAAAGCTCAATGATTGAAACCTCCTCTCTTTGTCAAACCTTTTACTCAGTGAGTGAGACTACAGGTGTGACCTAAGCTGTCAGTCCTGTGTCATAATACAGGTGGAAATAACAGTTTGCACTATGCGTTATCAATTTAGAATTGCATGCAAGTAACATGCAACAAAATCATGCCATGACACAAAACCACTACAGCAAGAGAGGAATCCCTATAGCAGAAATAAAAACTGATGCAGATTGCACCAGATTGCACCATGCAGATTAAAATCATACGTTTTAGTATATACAGGTTGACACTTAAATGTAAGATCTTTGTGCGAGAGACAAGCTGGAGTAAAGAGGAAGAAAAGATGTTTGATAATGAATACATCAATCCATTTAAGACATTGAAGAAGCACAACTCTAGCCAGCACAATGACTAACAGACTGCACAGCAACAGAGAATAGGCACTAGGTTTTTGTTCTGGCTGAGGGGAGAAGAAATAAAACATAAAGTATATTTTGGAAGTTATTTTTATTTATTATTTGAAATGGTTACGTTTTTAGTTGACTTCATTGTAAGACTATTATTCTAAAATGATTTTATCCTCAATGTAATTGTGCTCTTGCGTTAATAATAATCTATATGGCCTGAAGTAGGATCCAAATCCAGTCATGCACAATACTTTGAAATACAATACTGTGCATTTTTGGGAATATTCGGGCCTGTTTCAACAAAGCAAGAACAATAAAGACTTTGTTTTTCAGAGTTTGTTGGAGAGTGCCCTGATTATAACCTTTCAAACACTTGTTGGGATACATTTGAAGCTCACACACTGTGAGTAAAGTCAGCAAACACCATGCAAGATAGTCATCAATGTTTAGGAATGAGATGTTCACCAATCTCTTGAAGGTGTTGATGTTGAAGTGGTCGCATAGCTTTGTGTCTTCAGTGTATTTAATACTTTTTGTGTTTTTTTACAAAACTCATGGACAAACACAAACTCACACGTAAAGTACATTTACTTTCTCGATGAATCATGCTTCGGTTCACATTCCCTGGCAGTTCACGTCTCAAGTGTGGCTTATCAAGCTTAGTCCTTTCTGTTTCATCATGTCTGTCTGCTTTCTGGTCCCTTTGTGACCTCGGGGGTGCAGGCCACCGTGTTGCTGTACACTCTGCGGTTCAGCTGCATCACCGTGGTCTTCGAGGGCATCGACGTGTTGCCCTGATCCGCAGGCCGGCGATTGCAGTGAAACAGAGACAGGAAACACCTGTAGAACTGAGATGGAAAGACGGGAGAATGTGAACGCAACTCACCAGCACAACATGAGTGTTCTCTGCTATCACTAACTATGGGTTGACTTAGGGCTAGGGCTGCTCAATTAATCTTATTTTAATCGCGATTACGATTATGGCTTGCAACGATTACGAAAACAACGTAATCGAAATAAAACGATTATTTTTTTATTATTATTATGACTTTTTTTCTTTCTTTTTTTAAAAATAATTTACCCTGAACTTTAAGTATAATTCAACTGAAAAACCCACCAAAAAAATCAAAAGAATAAATAAATAATCGTTTAATTTCGATGATGTTGTTTTCATAATCGTTGCAAGCCAAAATCGTAATTGCGTTCAAAATACGATTTAATTGAGCAGCCCTAGGTTGACCTTGGTTTGTTTCATGCTTTGAGAGACTCTAGAGTTCGATTGGGCAGAAATCATGCCTAAGTGCACTCTCATGTCCCCACTGTCAATAAGTACAGCCACTTGAGAGGAGAGGATGGCGCAGACTTGGTGTCAGAGGTGTTCTTGTTACTTTGACCTTCGTTCTTCACAGTTTGAAAGGTCTGTCAGTTCTGTGTTTTCTGAGTACTGCTAGGGAGTGAGTTATCGCGGGTGCATTTTGAAATGCGATGGCTGTTACTTTGCCACTTTTGTCCTGATTCTGATGGCTTAGCTGCAGGTGCAATTGTGTAAATCAAGGTAAAGTGAAAAGACATTTGAAATGGTTCATTTATGAGCAAAATGTACTCGTGTAATTTCACTGAAAACTGTTTGTAGGGCTGCGTTTCAAAGGCTTATTAGATTTACTGGAAAAACTGCCTCTTCTGTGAATTTATTGACATCGATTAGCATGTTGATTTATTGTGAGAAAATAGGAGGGAAAACAACACAGGGCCATCTTGCTTTCAAACAGGCTGTAGAGAAACGGCTATTTGTCCACAAGATGCTTATAGATTCTGTAGGGAGGCTCCCGCTCGTAGTGATGTGTTGGGATTGTGATCATGCTGGAGAGCAACAATGGAGAAGGAGCAGAGTTGCGAGCAGAATACCAATCATCAGCGAGGGAAGTGATAAACAGAGATCAGCAGTAGTGTTCTAAAGCAAGGTGGTGTGAAAAACTACAAAGGATAGCAAAAAAGAATATGTGAGCTCTGTGTGTTGGCAGCGTGCCACATTGTATGGCACTACCATGCTGAGGCAGGCGAACGCTTCATTCATTATGCATTCAGTTCTATTTTTATCTTTATCTTAAGGAAGGTTTTGCTGAGCATGCATGCGCAGCCCAACTCCACATTTGCACTTACAGTATAATCACATTTGCACATTTGAACTGCCCGGTGAAACAGATTCTGACACGACCGTGTGCAGCGGAGACTTTATGAAGAAGGCTTGTCTCAAAGGAAAACACCTAGCAGATGCTGAGGAAGGCTAATACATTTTTTTTTACACTCCTTTTTAATCACATTTGCATTTTAGTGTTGATGCACTTTCATGCTAGGCTATATCTGTACTGGGAGGGCAGCTACATGAACTGTAAACTGGACATATGGGTACATTGGAAAGGCCAGTTAGGACAGAAGTTGAAACTGAAGGCAGGAGGTGTTTGAGTTCATGGCGAAGTGATGACAAAAAGACAGCAGGACTCCATGTCAATATAAACCCGAGTGGTGTCAAGAGAAAATGTACGATCTGGGTTGATATCTTGAAAACAAGCCACTCATCACCTAAGGGGTGGCAGGAATATTTTTGGGAAATATGTTTTTATCTTTTCTCATAGATAAGTGACACTAGTTTCATTTCTGTCCAGTGAAAACAACAATAGAGGCGTCAACCAATTATCTGATTTTAGTATAAAGACTGGAAACGGGGAGGAAGAGTTGTCACCCTATTAATGAACGTCACCGTTTGAAAAAAGTCCAATCCCTATCCCTACGTTGAACTGACGCCTGTTGTTTTTACACAGCTTTTTGTCAGGATAAAAACAAAATGTGTGAGCTTGTGAGGTGCTGGCAGGTGGATGTGTGTACCTTTTGACAGCCAGGCTAACGGTTCCCATCTGCTTTCAGTCTTTATGCTAAGTTA